ATTCCTGCCAAGGCTTCTGTTTCTTCAGGCAGGCTGAGCCAGCATATTTTATCACAGCCACAAATAACAAGATCTTTCACACAGCTTCTCTGTAGGAGAAAAAGTGAACTAATTGCAAAAATAGTAAGGAACAAAAAAGGGGTTATCCTGCATTTATTGTCACGGTTTATGGCTGAGGCAGCAGGACATTTAATTTAATTTTGATGCTTTTTTAAAAGCCTTCTGTAAGAAGTCAGCCTTTGGATTAAGGCTTTTCATTTTTGCTTTTGTCTATTAGCAATATTTTTTCTTCCTGAAAGATGCAAAAATCCTGCAAGAGCTCTTCCACGTGATTCACGACAATCACAGCATTCTTCCCAATTCAGCATCTGCCTGACTAGACTTTGTACTACTTGCTGCTTGATAATAATGGGGAAAAGAAGGAAAACGCAGGTGGTGCTGGTGTTTTATTTGTTTTTTTTCAGTTTCTTTACATTTTCAGTATATCTGTGTACTCCAAATTTGGAAAACACAAACCTGTGAAATACTAAGTAGAGTGGTTTTTGTGATTACCAGTGTGTGAAATGCTGGCTAGTGACACAGGCTAGGCAGGCAAGTGAGCAGATGGCAGTCACAAGCAGGTAACAGCCACAAACCCCCAACTTTTTCTGTGCATGCACTGCTACCCACCACTCCTCTCGCTGTACTATAAGTGAACCGCAGCAGCAACCACTTCAAATAGATAAAGTAGCTCCATCTGCGCTTCACATGGTGGGAGTAGGGGGAAGATGAGGTTGCTGTAATGAGTTGATCATTTCTGCAGCATTAGGCCACTCAGGAAGCCGGGGCATTGCCGGAGCAAGGCTCAGCTGAGCGCCATGAACCCACCTGCTCACTGGAGGTCAAATCTAGACATCGGCAAAAGGAAAAGCGCGTACGCTTACGAAACGTCCGAGCCCTGCAGGGAAACGTCGCAGGAGCAAGGGGCACCTCTGCAGTTTTATGGCTGCTAGGTTAGGGAGCTTCTGGATCCAGATGCTTCCTTAGGGCATATAAAGTAACTCAGGTATCAGATGCCTGGTAACTCTCTACTCCAGCACCTTCACACTGATGCAATTCCCCAGGCACTCAAGTCCAGTGCAGTGCCATTTGTCAGAGACAGACAAGACCTGCCACTGGCAAAAAAAAAAAAAAAAAAGGTAATTTGAGACGCTAAAAGCAAAAGGAATGACTCGGAACCAAGGAGCAAAACCTGGTAAACTGATGCACAATTCTCCTTCAACATGCCTCCCCATTCCCCCTAAAAAAGCAACCAACCCATATTTTATGATTCTGGGAAGAAATCCTACCATAGGAATTGATTTTCTCAACTCAGGTAAAACAAAACAAAACAAACAAACAAAAAACCCTGAAGGTGCCACCTGATTTTTTTCTGTTATGGCTGTTAATGCTGCCCTGTTTCATTTATTCAGAAACATTTACTTTGCATCAGAAATAAACAAGGCACAGAACCCTGTAACTGGGCACTACAGCCTGGAAAGATCCCCTAAATCACATCAGTAATGGGACAGTGGGTTAAGATTACAACGCAGACAAAATAGGAGAGAAATTCCTTTCTCAGATTACATGTCCTCTAGAAAGGGCACACTGGAGACAAATACCCTCACTTCAGAAAGTTTTAACACTGTATTTCAGCTTTGCATCACTTCTGCATTTGCTTAATTCTGCAGGTATAAAGATAAAGTTTAACCCTTTAGATTTACTGATTCCTTCAGTCTCATACTTAATAAAAATATTCTCCTTTAAGCTTTTAATCTCAACAGCATATTATTTCATTTGATGAAAAAAGTATTTTAATAACAAAAACAGTGTGGGGGGCTTTTTGCTTCAACTGAAGAGCTGCTCAGCACTGCAGATAAATAGAGATTGTCATACAAAAAAAGACATCTTGAGTAACTACAGTTTTGAAAATATGTACTTTTTCTACAGTTGTTTGTGTTATGTCAAAACAATACACACACACCGAAGCACTTGGCAAGTGCTACAACAAATTAGGAAGACACACAGCATAGTTACACTTGGGCTGAATCTGGCTACAAAAAACCACCACAGATCTTGCAAAATCTCATGCTCATGAAGAAAGCCCCAGTTCCTCCAACCCTTTAACTGGAAATCCAAAGGATCAAACCAAAAAGTGCATTTCCAGGCAATTGTGCTTGCAGACAAAAAACTGTGGGAGTGAGGGGGGGATTCCCAAAGCCCCCTCCTCCACCCCACCAAATCACATAGAGGACAACTGCTTTTGGGGGGGGGGGAGGTTTACATAATGTTTAAATGCACTACTTTTTTTTTCCCCCCAAAGTAATGATCACAGACTGTTTAGCATTACAGAGTCTGCCTGGAATTACTCCAAATAATTTAGTTACTAAAAATCCAATTTGCCCTTTCAGCACTACTCACACTCTTAAATTTACGCATGCCAACCAGAGCAATGAGAATACAATAACTGATAAAATCTTTTTTCATCTTATGCCAATACCATTCTGCAGCACTTGCTTTGCAAATGCTTCAGAGAAATTCTTTCATTTCTAAAAATTTCTATTTGGAGTTTTAAAGCATAAAAACCAAAATCGATATAATGGAAAAATTGCCTTCAGGTTAAATTAAGCATGAAAGCGTGAATTTAGGATTAGAAAAAGGAATATATACTCTCATAATTGTTAGCACAACACATGGATTTATGACTTTTTTTCTGTGGTGTGTCATTTGGTGAAATAACTTTTTCTTAAGCTTACTTCAAAAACAAGCTAACTTAGGCTGTGTTTACAGAGACCTGCTGCGGCATAAGCAAATTTAAACAATTTTTGGTTGCTCTGCCAATTGCAAAGCATTCTTGGCACCATCTGCTTTCCCATTAATTTTCCTTAAACTATTTATAGTTCAATGTAATACAGCTGAAGAGTTACAAGTTTAAGACTGCCATCAATTTTAAAGCCAAGATTAAGCTAGTGAGCCTTCATTAATAGTTTTCTTCAACAGTTTATTTTAGAGATACAGAAGTAAGACAAAACAGCTCTGTGCTTGCTATCAAGTGCACTTTGAATACAGTGCAAACACACAGGAAAAAAAAAAGCACCCCAAAACTCTGTTTGCCCTTGTAATTGTGCAAATCAGAGATCATCCTGAAGAAGTAAATCTGGAATCCCTGGACAAAAATAGGCACGCTGACATCAAGAAATACCAGTATTTTATGTTATGTATTGAGGTTTGAAAAACATCTTTAGAAACTGAAGTAAGGCTTCTGTATAATTAGAAATATCATACTTGCAATCATTGCAATCAGTTGTAGGCCTTTTTTTTTTTTTTTTTTTAAAAAAAATAAAGTTAGCAGGGAGCTATGGAACAAGAAGAGGAAATGCATCTATTATATTTGAGAGATTCCATGACAAAGAATTTTCTAAAGACTGCAGGACATGGTAAATATCCATGTTCTCAGAAGGGAAAACTATTTTTCCTTTCCCCCTCTAACAGTCACTTTTCTTCCAACACATTAATTTTTTAATTTCTTTTTTTTTTTTTTTTGGGGGGGGGTGGTGCAGCAGGGACGACACACAACTCTAGAGTATAATCTTGTATATTCACTGAATGCCAAATTTTCTCTTTTATCTAAATGATAAACATTTTTAGTCACTTTTAGCATATCACCACCTTACACTGACCAATGAAGAAAATAACTGTACAATGCTTCAGCTGAAAATATCTAATTATTATTTAGTGAAAAAAAAAATTTAATACAATTGAACCTAAAGCAGACTGGCAGCAGCTGTTTGTTTTTTTATTCCAATGTGCAGTTTTAAAACATCTCTCCTTTTACCTATGTATTTTGGATCACAGCAAGACACTCGGGACTGCACAGACCCACCTTCCTTCAAACTGAATTCCCTGAATGCTTCAACTTTCTACAAATTCTAGAGTATCTTGAAATAGGCAAAACTTTTCAGTAAAAAATACTTAAAAAATTTACTGTCTCAGAATATTTTTAGGTATTACAAAATTTGATAACTTACAAAGGTTACAAATCAAAGCAAACAGCCAGGCGTAGCAATCTGAGTGCTTATTATTTAACCTTGATACACTCAAGAGATTTCTCAGATGAGATACGCTTGCCTTTTCAGATCCATATTTCTAAAGAGTTAAAGTCTGCCCAGCTCCTTACGTAAGCATACAAGGCACTAGACAGAAATAA